TCAGTTATCCCTGGCCATGCTTTCCTTTAACCAGCCACTGATGCTGAAAAATGTCTTTAGTTAGGTGAGTCAGTGCCTGTGAATAGACTTCCTAGACACATCTGGACATCTTTGTTCTGACCCAGTTGATGGCAGGACCAGAAGGGAGAAACTCTCCCTGTACAGCATGGGCAGTACCCTAGAAGGAAGAACTGCAACCAGAGACAAAATGATAGTTCTTTCTCCACATTCAACAGTCTTTGGTCCTTTTGCCAAGGCTGCAGGCAGCTATATCAATGAGTCTTGGTTGTTTTCCTGAAATTTTTCATGCAGCCACTTTTCCATTAGGATTTGGACAAAGACCAACTCAATGCTCATAATTATTTCTTACATATGGCCTATTTCTTCACAGAACACTGAAGCTATTGATATGGGAAAGGATTTGTATGATTCAGCCATCAGTTGTCCAGAAGAAAAACGTCTCCTTATGAGGGCTGCAGTCCAAAGTAGAAGGAACACAGTAGGACTGTCAACACTGGGAGGAAACCCAGGGAAGTGCAAAGGATTAAAGGCAACCAGCAGAGGTTCTGCTTTTACTACACTGGGCTAAAACTGAGTATTTAGAACAGCATATCACAAAATCAAAGTAACATGTAGGAATGAGCATAGAAAGGAAGATGGGGGGAAGCAGAAGTACTGACATGAAGGGAGGGAAGTGAGATCAGCAAGTAGGAACCAAGACCTTCCTAAAGGGATGCTGAGGAAGAGGCAGAGGAAGACACAGTCAGAAAAGTAAAGGAAAACAAGACTTGTGAGGTTATCTCCTGTATATTTCCAGAATAATATCAAATTAGTATCAGAAATGCATTTTAAAACAAATGATATGCAACTAATGCAAACACAAGGAAAAATTGCTGAGCCATTGAAAAGGTCTTTAATTAAAGCTTTAAAAAAACACAACACCTTGACTACAACTTAACAGAAAACACATGAGCAAGAAAGAATGTATTTTAAGGTATTTTCCTTATTAAGACTGGTAGCTCAACTCTGATGAGTTGCTTTGTAGTGTGACCTAGGAATAAATGAAACATATTACATGATCCAACTTTTAGAAGATTCTATCAGACAGCTGTTACTTCATCATACTGTTCTCCAGCACAATACCAAATCAGCTTCCTATGCAAGCTGAAATACTCAGAACCAGAGTTCTCTAATACAAAGAAACCATTAACAAACAAATAGCACAGAATTTCTGTGCTGTTAGCATCCCCATTTCTGTGTACTGTAGGGGCAGTATTGCACCTTCCCCAGGATTTAGAGCCCCTTTTCTCCCCAGTGTGAACCCAAATAGCAGAGGAGGGCTTGGTGCTGCTGTGGATTCAGAGTTGTGAAGGGGTTCCAGAGGAAGGGTTTTGTGTCACTGCGGGCACAACTCTGTAGCACTGCAGAAACCTTGTGCAGTGGTTCTCATACCGTAATCTGTAGGATTTCCCAGTGTTATTACAGAGGTTATGCAACTTCAGGTTAGATTTGGGTCTGATTTCAGGGTCAGTGATAATACAAAGTATTCAAAAGCCAAGCACAATAAGTGCAATGACTATTTTTGGGAGCCCAGTTCAATGCAGTTTGTGATAAATCTCCCACCACCTTGAGAGTTTCTCCCTACAGAAGAAGTGAGCACAGGACACTATATTTTACAGAATGACACTTAAATTAACTGTAATTTCAGAAACATTTTAAGTCAGTCTTTTGTTAGTTAAGAAAAATTGGTTTTAGTTCTCAACAATTTAGCCAAAGCTAAATAATATTCCAAGCAACAAATATTGTTTGTAAATCAAAGGATTGCTACTAAATATAAAAGTTAGACCTCTACCATATAAAAGCAACTCATAAGATTTGCCAAACTGTGAGGCTACTTACAAAATGTTTATATGGTTTAACTGGTAGAAAACATAAAAGCATAAAGTTCTCCACAGGCTACACCACTTAGCTTAAATTTATGGTTGAGTTGCCCTCCCTCCCTAATAAAAGTACTAATTTGGACATTGCATTCCACTGTGTACTTTTAATTTACAACAGTGACTGTATTGCTACATAAAAACTATTCAACATATTAATGCTCAGGACTTCACTGAGTCTTTCAGTACTACATTACTGCCAAAATGCACAGCAAAAATAAAAAAATATACATAATTAAAAGCAACAATAAAACATATGGGCTCTTTGAACTACTTTTTGTAGTTGGAGATTTCTTTTTTATCATACACTATCACATTATCCTGAACTTTCATTTCTTCTGAAGAGAGAATTCAGAAAAATACCTGGGGGAGTGTTACTGTAATATCTGCTGAGCATTAAGCAAGCCAAAGATGAGGACACACCTGTTGAAATTAGGCAATCCAAAGAGTCAGGGGAAGGGCAATGAAATTCAGTCAGAAATAATGGATTCAGAAGTTTAAAAGCTGTTGAAAACTACATTGGGAAAAACATAACTAATTAGAGGAATAACTGAGATTTCATTTGATCCAAATATTTCAAACAAGTCAGGAATAGCCACAGTGTAAGCAGGTATGTTAACAGAATGGAGAGACTGCCTCAGGGATCAACATTATAATTGTTATTCGGAAAGACTGTGATTGATTAGAAATGTAACTATAGTACAGAAAATCAGAAAGGGAAGTAAAGAAAGGGTTTTGCTTTCAGGTTTTTGCTTTTTCTCATATTACAAAGTACAGCAAAATGAGCATTCTTCTTGCAAACAGATTTAACAGCCTGAAGACATTTTGATTTTCAAAATCACCCAAGCCCTTGTGAAACAGAAACAGCACCAGGTGGGTGTTCTGTTCCAACTTCACTGTAGCAAGCACTAAATCTTCCATCATGGTGCAACTATTCAATTAAATATTGTTGTGAGACCATGGTAGGAGACTCCACTGGGACTCTGCTCTCAACCATAAAGATATAATGGCAGGAATGAAGAAAATAAAAGCTTTTGACTTTGCACTATGACCTGCTTCCTCTAATTGTGGATACTTGATGACCAGCTTACACTCAATCATTGCTTCCCTGCATGCATTTGTACCTTAAGCTTTGTCATGTTCTGTGCACCAAATAACTTTTCCATTTTTTGTTTTCAGAAAAAAGTGCCTTTTATTAAAAGGAAACAAAACAACAAAACAAAACAAAAACACAAAAACGAACAAAACAACAAAAAAAGGACAAATAATTAGTGAGGACTATTACATCCCAGGTATCTTTTCAATATTACAGTATGTAGTTCTGTATTTAGATACACATCTATCTTTAAGAAGATTAATTTTTCCTTAAAACCCAAAACCTTAATCTCAGCTCAGTTGAGGGGGAATTGCACTCTGAAAAATTGTCTATGCCAATTACTAAGAAAGTCTGCATCATTAAGACATGGCAAGCTCTTAATATTTAGGACTAGGAAATAAGGTAAGGTGAATTGGGATCTCAGTGCTTACTTGTTCACTTGAGTAGACTTACTGTGTCACAGTACTTAATGTTCTTCATTATTAGTATTGTTTGCTACTGTATAAATTTGGGAGTGAAAATACTAAGCAAAATGTCAAAAGTGAATCTCAAGTTTAAACAAATCCTGGATGAAAGCAGATATGAGATCATGTCTGTGAAGTGGGGAAAAAAAAATATCATATGAATCTTACTAAACCCAGAGTCATCTTTCCAAGTAGTACCAGAGTAAGGAGAAAGACACAATCTCACTCTAAGAAATCTTTTAACAGCTACAGAAATCTTAGCACATAGCTGCTGGTGTCCAAGGAGTCCCATGAAAAGAGAACACTTAACTCATATCCCTCCTGTTGAGGAAAGAGGAAGTTCTCAAAACTTTAATCAGCACATAAATATAAGGCGTCTGTAGTAGATTCTCCAAAGAAGGTAAAAAATGCACAGCAAGAAAATAAGTTTAGTATGGCCTTTCTGCACTACAGCTCTACTGGATACAGACACACTGACTGAGGACATCCTCAAAATGAGAAACATTCCAGCTAAGGAAGGACCAAGAGTATTAGAACGCCATGTAAGACAAGATGTAAAATAAGTTTCACCTGAATCCCCAGCAAAATGGCAACTAAGTCTCACAGAGAAATACTTTCTTAGTAATCCCCCACCTTGCTGTCAAATAAATTGAAGGTCTACTAAAAAAATCCTGTCCTATATAATCAGTCAATAAACAATTACTGCAAAATACATATGCATGTGGATGCATGTATTTTGCAGGTGCACACATATATTTATAAATATGTGTTTTCATGTTGTGTGAGCTTGCACAGTGTAACTAACTTCACCAGATCAGCACCCAATCATGACAGCTGCAATGCCATCCCTGCGGCTTAAAAAACAGAGAGGCTGTACCCTCAGCTATTTGCCTATTGCCTTCAGGGGAAATATTGGTGTTCTTGTTACTGTCTCATTACTAATTCATATTACACTGGTTTTGCTGTCCCTTCCCTTTTAGACCACCTTATCAGTATTCTTCTATCTTGAAGATCTTGCTGGATGACAGAGAAACCAGAAGGACCCTGAGGCAAAAGCAGACTCCAAACATTATTCTCAAAATGTGTGTCTGCGTGGACATCATGAAGCCTCTCTCTTTCTGAGCTCATGAAAAAAGGGAATATTAAACAGAAGGCAGAGTTCAAGTTTCAATTGAGAGGTCCCCCCATTCTACTTCAAACTGAGCTACAGTGTCTGTGCAAGAAAGTACACCATCACTACATCTGTATGATCCCAGTGGCAAGAACCTCCATCATCAAAATTCCTAAAGGAAAACAATCACTTCATACAGTATACAGTCAACTTGGTAAAATAATAAAGAACAAAAACCAGATGATTTTTACTTCCTGACATCACTTCCAGCAAAAAAGCTGGAAGTGATGTCAGGAAGTAAAAATCATCAGCTCAAACACCTCTCTCAATTGCAGAGCACATGCACAAATGCAAGAGATGATCACACCTCACCCCATAGCTCAGGCACTCACCTGCCCCAGATCTAAGGTGACATTGACTTCGTTGTACTTCAACCCCATGGAAAGAGGGGGACTCTGCCACCAGCTCTCAGTGCCATCAATGGCATTGGTTATCGGGTGAGCTTTGCTGGGATCAGCACCATTGCAGTAATCACAAAACTGGCCCTGAAACACAAGCAATCAAAAACATGGTCTCAGGCACATCTTACACTTTGATAACACGTGGTTGTTAATAGAGATTCTGAACTAGGGTGTTGACTGAAGGTGTGGGTAAATTTTGTTCCTTTATATACCATAACTTTTAATGTACAAATTATTCTCCTGGTAATTAAATAACACAATGAAACACACTAACTTTTATGTTACAAACTAAAACTTCAGAAAACTCAATAAGGGAATTACAGTAAATATTTATTAACTTATTGACACTTCGGTGAAATTACCTATATTACTCCTACAGCGGTGTCTGCAGGAAATCTGCAGAAAATTAGTGAAATAAAGATTCTTAGAACTGGATTAGGAACAACAAAAAAATTATTCTCAATTTTTCTAAAACACCATGAAATATCCACATATTCATATTGCCTATTATAAATAAAACCATAACAAAAAAGCCTTGTTACTTGGCAATAACTTTGGTATTAGAATTTTATAACACTGTTTTCATTTTTTTTGTGCCATTAAAATACATTCTGAAGGAGTTTTCTAAACAATATGCACTTGTGGAAAATGCAACAGACTGTTCCCTTTAAGCTTCCCTTTAAAGAATGGCATTGTATCTTCATTTCAAGAAGTTACTGCCCAATTTCCAGTCCACAACTAAAGCCACAATCCAGATATGCCCTTTGAGAGTCTATTAAGCTCTTTGTACAATAACGATGAATCAACTTCAGAAAAACTAACTGTCTTTTGATTTCATATCTTGGCTTGCCCCACAACCTATTTTTATCTCCAAGAAATGCATTTTACAGTCTACTAAGATTAGTGCTGAACAGCTGAAATAAGTTATTAAGGGATCTTTTGAGCATACCATTCACTTTTTATTCCAACACTAGGAGGAGGCAATCAGTGAAAATGCTTAAACTGCGCCACTACAAATCTTTGTAGAAAAATAACATTTTCATTGAATGGCAGCACACCTGCCATGCCTACTTCAGTGGGACAGTTGCTTAAATCATCAGACTCTGAGCTGCTGACACTGTGTTGGACTCCTGCTTAAAATAAAAGGAATGGGGCAAATGTTACCTTACCAACTAACCAGATGTTACCATCAAAAGCATGTAACAAATCTTTTGTTGTTTCCACAATTGCACTTCTGGGTGTGAAGCGCATTCCTACCTTTTAAGAATTAACAGATTCTTATATAAGTGTCATTGTTTTGTTGCTGCTGTCAGACTAACCAGTGTAAAGTAACTGGAGCAATCATACTTGTCTACTTTTTACAGAGAACTAACAGAAGAGCTCTCACACTCTTGCTGGGCTCAGTCTTGCAAGCTTGGTGAGTTTGAGATGTTCAGCAGAATTTATTTAAAATCTATCATAGTTACTAATAGATTAGAAAATACTTAATCTCATGTGATACGAATAGACCATCCTGTGCCTTTCAAATATGTTCACTGAATAGAAAATTGATGCTGGAAACTGAAATAGATGTTTATTGAATTTAATATTTCTGCATCGATAGCAGCAACTTCAGCATCTGCATCTAGCAGTAGTTCCATCCTGCTCTCCCAGAAAACCCAGAATATGATGCAGTTTCCAGAAGACATGGCTACCCTTAGCTGTTCTTATTAAGCACGGCTGATGCCAATCTGGCTGGGGCTTAACTCTTGACAATTCAGAAACTAAATCCTCACATACACGAGTTGGTTAACTACAGATGGGGTCATGTTATAACACTATTGTCCTCCAGCTCTGTTAGAGAAGATGGTTTGGCTCACTACAATATGCCAGGACTCCATCTGATTCAGGTGGTTTGCTGCAGCAGATACACATCAGCGCGTGCTAGCTACAGGCAATGCTGCCAGTTTCTGCAGCGATGACAAAGAACATCATGTCACTCTCTGCAAAAATCCATACCCTGAGAAATCAATCTATGCACTGGCAACTGCAGTTACTACCACATCAAAACATCTTCCCTGACAAATGCATACCTGAGTTCTGACATATATGTTACAACAGGGCAAGCTTCCCTAAATAGCTTTATAATGAGCTTGAAACATAGTCTTCAGATCTAAATTACATTCACAATGATCAGGCTGGAAGTACACAGGAAACAGTTGCTGTTGCAGCAGTTTCGGCTCTGATCTGGAAACAACCTCAAAGAAAGGCTGAATGAGAAGAAAACAATGGGGAGCATTAAACACAAGAGTTTAATTTACATGTACTTATGTGATTTCAGTATACCAGATCAATTGATCTGAAATCAAGATATCGTATTTCTCTTTTTGGGCACATAATTCAAAGAATTTCATTGCAACAGCTGGAGTTTCAGTTATTTAAATTACATTCCAACAACCCTGCCAACTAGGCAGCAAAACAAAAATGAAAGAAAAAAAATTATTGGACAGAGCAGCCTTCCTTCCTTCTCACTGGCAGTATCTCAGGCACATTGTGCTCAGTTTGCCTGTTACAGGACACGTCTCCATTCTAGTAGACTGGGCCTTGAAGGTTGGTTTGATTTTGGCTGCAGTTCATCAGACAGGCAGGTGTGCATTTGCTGGTGACCTTGTTACCCTCCTTTTCCCTGCTTCTCCTGTGAAAAGGAGAGACCTGGAACTGCATGAAAGAGTTTTGCTGAAATATGCTAGTGTGAACCAGGGACACACAGGGATGAAAATGTCTTGCCTGTAAGTTATAGAAAGTGACAACAATGAAGAATTTGTTCACTTTTGCATACCCAGCAGCTCTGTGCCCACTGGCAGGGCAGGACAGGTATGCAGTTAGACTTTAACTCACGCCTGCACACCACTGTGGACAGACCGGCAGGCAAAACCAGGCATGCCACTTATCTATCAGCTGCTGAAATATTTTATACTGCTGTGCATTTCTTCACTCAACACTGTTCTCATTATTTCCTACATGCCAGTGTGCTAAATAAAGGAAACCCACCTCTTTCCACAGTGTATGTCCAGCACTGCTTTAAGAGCCTTTGTTGAGCTGCCCACAAAGGGACCAACCACCCCACTGACCACCTTTAAACAACATCCAAATGATCTTTCTGGATTTGCTGGATATTACAGGCTTCGTTAAAAGACACATCACTAAATGACAAGCTGAATGAGAACAACCAATGGCAGAGCAATGGAAACGATGTTTGGGCTGCTCTTCCTCTTTGCCTTTTTTTCAGATAGCACTGGCAACAGAGCTGTCTACTCCCTTTGCCAGAATGAGGATCACATTCTGCACCTCCTTTCCAATTTCCCTATTCATAGAGCAACTCCTGCAATCCAGCATTGTAGAGAGTCCAAAAGAGAGTGACTCAAGTGTGTGGTATCACTTGAACTTGAACCAGCATAACACAGTGGCTATTACACCTATCACTTTGTAAAAGCCATATGACCGTCCCTCAAGAAACATCACTTGATTTTAAATTGCTGATATTAAATCCTTCTATGTAAGCTCATATTCTGTAAAAGTTAAATGCAATTCTCTCCAATTTTCCATGAAAGAAGAAATTATCTTTGAACTTGAGAGGTAAAGTGGCTTGAGAATACATATATTGTGCATTTTCCATGTGTAGAATTGTCTGAATTTTCCTGGCCTTTTGAAAGTCTTTCCAGTACTTCTTGAAACACAACAACTACTGGTAAACCACAGAAGCATTCATGTACATGTTATACACGTGATACATGTTATGTATCTCAATGGGACTTTGCTAAAAGTGGAAAGAGATGCTGCAGTATCTGTCCTTACACAAAAGCTCTGAAAGGCCCAACATGCTTCCTCGTGCCAGGGTTGAGCTATCAGTACTCCTTCTGGGAACTTTAATTGCGCACGAACTATAGCAGCTCTCTAACCTAGGACCTGCAAGTCAAACATTTAAGAACAATTCCCCCCTTTCTAGCCTCCCTCTTCCTGTACACAGCAAACCCTCATTTCCAGCTGAATTTTAGTATATAAAGAGAGCAACTACAAAAACCATCAGAGGCAACACGCAGGCTTCGTTCCGCTTGCTTGGCAAGTTCATCTGATGTTTGCTTTGGCTGATTTTTATTACCCTGCGATTCTGATATTTCAAGGCATGTCAGTTTGAGATTTCATTCCAGCAGTGGGGCTGTAGCGAGTTGTTGAGAGATTTCTGGGTTTACAACTTACATGGTAGCACGGTTGTTTCAGGCAACTTTAAACATGGATGTTGCATTCAATATGGAAGGATGGGTGCCCTAAACTTCAGAGATGTGTTAATTACAGCAAACCAAGCAGTTTCCTGATCATCACAACCTTTTTGTGTAAACTCAGTTTAAGCATGTACTACCTATGTCCCAGTTTCCCTTTTATTAGAACTGTATACTCAGTGTGTAAGCATCTCCAAAGTACTTTGAGCTTTTTTTATGACTGAAAGCACTACAGAGATATAAGGTAATATAAAAAGAGAGAGAGATATAAGAATATTTCATTGTGAAATGGCAGAGGGAAGTCCATAGCAAAGCACACTGTTGGCTGTGGCTGCCCAATGAACTGTGAGGACAGGTTGCATGACGGTGCACGGTCCCTTCTGGCACATGGCAATATGCATGCTGCACATTCTTCATCCTCTCCCACTCTCTTGAGTGCCTATTCTCATTAAAAAATGAGAACAACTCTGTTATCCATTGCAACCCCTTCTGAAACCATATCTTGAGAGTTATTTCATTATAAAACATAATAAGATTTTGAAACACTAGCTCTTCTTCCAAGATGCTAAAAATTTACTTGTATGCTTTCTGCATTGCCTAAAGTCAGAGAGTGCACCTTTAAGCTTTCAAAATCCCTTTCAAGTTGCAGTTTCTTTCTGGTTCTCCTCCCACCAAGAGAGAATACAATTAAAATAACTTTGGAAGGTCTGAGGTTTCAGGAAAGTCCCCTCTTTTAACAAAGCTCTGATCAAACAGATAGCAAGCATCTGTCATAATACAACAGTTTGGTGCATTTGTTACTCCTTCCTTATCCTCTAAGAAATGTGGAAATACATGTTTCTTCCAAAGGAAAGATACATTTCCATCAATCCTTTTCAGAAGTTTTGCAGTTTATTTGTTATCTTCTTGTGACTGGCACAAAACGTGTGTAGTAATCTTATGCTATGCTAGGAAAGAACAGAATGATCCCTGCTGCCCTCTGCGCCTATACTCCCTGTCAGAGTCTCAGGAAGTCTCTGGCTTCCTCCCACAAGCAATGCAAGACACAAACGATAAGCCTCACATCTAGTGCTTCTAAAACACCACAAAATACTTTACTAGAGCCAGAACTCTTTTCCCACCGCATGCAGAGAGATGCCCGCTGTCCAGTCAGCAGCTTCCAGTGAAGTCCCGTCCCGTCCATTCCCCCAAGCTCGCAGGTTTACCCCCAGCAATATCTCGTTGCTCACCGCAGACCACGGGCCACGCGCTGAGGCCACAAAACACCAGCCCGAGGCACCCCAGGTGCCCGAGCAGCTCACACGCGCCCGGCAGCAGCCGCAGCCCCGTGGCACCGCGGCCAGGGGCGGTGCGCGGCTCCAGGAGGCGCCGGACACCTGAGGGCAGGTGCGCGGGCGGAGGCGCCGCTTCCCGCTTCCATCCATCTGCCCGGCGCTTCCCTGCCTGGGCTCCCGCCGGTGCACGCTCCGGTTCCTTTGCCCGTGACACAGGCTCAGCCAGGAGGAAAGGATACCGCGCACAGCAGGGTCACATCAGACCCCCCCAAAAGCCCCACACGCCCACACACAGCCCGGGCATGGGGAAGCGCTGCGCGGGGAAGGGGTCCCGCCGCCCGGTTACCTGGATGGCGCGTCCCAGCGGCGCGGCGGCCGGGCCCCCCACCAACTTGCAGAAGAGCTGCGGCCGCCCGCCGCCGCCCGCCGCCTCCCCGCAGGTGGCCGTGGCCCAGATGCGGGCTGCGGCCGCCAGGTTGAAGTAGGGCGGGTGGAGGCTGAGCCCCGTCCCGCGGGAGGCGCCGGGGCTCGGCTGCGCGGCGCAGAGGGCGAGGAGCGGCGGCAGCAGCGCCCGGAGCGCCGCGGAGCGCGGCGGCGCGGCCATCCTGCGCCGGGCTCTGCCCGCGGCCCCCGGGGCCGCCCCGCCGCGGCGTGGGCGGCGGGAGCGGGGCAGGAGAAGGAACGGCCGCTGGGAAGGAGCAGGAGCAGGAGCAGGAGCAGGAGCAGGAGCAGGAGCAGGAGCAGGAGCAGGCTGGGGGCTGCCTGCACCTCTCTCGCGTCCTGCCCGCGCTGCGCGGTGCGGGCTGGGGCGGGACGCGGCGCAGCCCCGGCCCCCCGGGCGTGCTGTGCGCTGGACGGGGCGGGACGGGACGGGACGGGGGAAGGGTCTCGGGGCTGTCCCAGGTCCGTGCCCGGGCGCCCAGCTCGCCCAGAGGTGCCGCCCCAGGCTCTCTGAGCCTCCTGTTCCCCGGTAGGTGCGCGGGTCAGTGTTTGTGACAGACCGTGAAGGAGTCTCAGAGCGTGCCACCTTCATAATCTGCCCACAACGCGTTACGTTGTGGATGCCCCGTTCCTGGTAATGTTCAAGGCTAGGCTGGATGGGGCTCTGAGCGTCCTGGTCTAGTGGGAGGTGACTCTGCCCAGGGCAGGGGGCTTGGAAAATCAGATGATCATTAAAGGTTCCTTCCAACCCAAACCATTCTGATCCGCTGACAATCCCTGACCTGCCACATCACATACAGGGAGTAAAGATAAGGTGTCCAGGCTTCCTCCAGGAGCAGAGACATTCCCACACAAGGTTGGGGATCCCCACATCCCTGCTGCTCTCTGCAGGTCTTCAGGAAGATCCTGTGTGACTGTTGTAGAAATCACAGCTCCTCTTGGCATTTTCAGTGCTCTGAGGCTGCTGGAAACCGTGCAGTCTGGGCCAGCATCTTGCAATGCACAGTCAGTGTTCGCAGCTCCTTGTGAAATGGGTGGTCCTGCTCATCCAGGACAGACAATGAGTCTCCAGTCTTTTTGAAGCTATTTGGCACAGTCTTTGCATAACGCAGGAGCTACGGGGATGAGGGGGAAGGCTGGGAAGGGAGAAGGAGACCTAAGAACCACGTCATCTGCCATCAGGATTTGCACTGATTAATGGCATTGCAATCCTAAATTTCATACCTATTCACATTTCCAATCCTACATATGCTCACATATCCTGTGTTCATTCCTCTTAAAATAATTTGAGGGATTCAGATAAAAGATGTGGGAAGATACAAGTGCTTACAATAATTTAAGAGTGATTCATGTGAGTTGCAAAGTATTTCATAACTTTCTGAAAGCTTTGCTAGATGCCACTCAGCAGTGGCAAGGGAGATCCCTGGTGTACTGTTTCAGGAAGCACCAGCTGCAAGCTATTGATTTTGCCTGCAAGAAAATCTCACCACCCTTGTTTGTTTGGCCATGGCTTTAGCACACCATAGAGACATATCTGTGGGGGACAATTTTTGTGTCCTCCATAATAAAAGCTGACTTTCATAAATGTATCATGCTGTCAATTCACATATATCAGATTTCATAAATGCTCTTCTCTTCTAGAGCACCTTAAAAATATTCCACTTTTCCAACTGTGACATCTTATTCCATATGTACATCATTTCACTTCATCAAATAGATTGCACTTCATAAGAAATATGAGAGGTTTGAATGCAAACAAATGTTCCATCACCCAAAATGCCATCCTATCAGATAGGACAGACACTGGTCATTTCAAACTATTTATTGAAAAAGGGTAAAATCCAAAGAAAACCCGGAAGAAAACAAGTTTTTACAAATGGAGACCTGAAAGTATCTGATACAAGTCCAGAGCAAGCAAGCTCTTAGAAAGGCCTGCCCACTTTTTTGGGTGGTTCAGGTAAGGAACCTAGCTTCAGGAGATCTAGCTTTGCAATCTCACTTTGAGGAGAAGATCCTTGTGAGCTGTTTGGTGGATTGCTTACAAGAGATGTCCATTCTCAAAAAAGAGAATATTAATTTATTGGTAAGGATCACATGAGAAACCACAACTTACACAAGCAAGAACCTAATAGTTTAGTACAATAATTACATGTTCTTGGATCTACTTTCCTAAAAGTCAAAACCAGGAAACTTTGTAAACATTCACAAAATTAGCCTATCAGATAGAAAAGTAGAGGGAGAAATGTTCTTGTTCTTTTCCTGATAAAATTGTGTGCATTTTCCTCAAGGTACACCTAGATTTAAAAACATTCGTTGGACTTCTAGGTGATGTTTCTGTCCTTTGTAAATCACTTACACCAAACATGGGTTTGGAGTTTTTTTTTTTAATTCAGTGTGCTTTCTAGAAATAAAGGTCAACAGACATATTGATCTCTATGTCTAGATATTTTAGATTTAGAGAGATTTCTAGAGATTTTAGATTTTCTTGAAAAATCTCTAGAGATCTCTCTAAATATGTGGGCAGGTATTATGAAAAATGCAATGACAATTTTTACCTTTGACACAAAGTGTGAAAAAATGTTCATAGGGGGCATTCCCAGCACAGGTACTCAAATACTTGATACCTGTAAAAAGTTCATGCAAAACTATCCAAAAATTTTATGCCAAGACTCTGGAGCTATGCAAAGCCAGAGATAATAATTTGCATGAGAAAGCAGACAGAGTGGTAGTGTGGGTGTGTATATGGAGGTGATGATAACAGCATGGCCTGTCACTAGCAGTTGGAAAACTGAAATTTTTCTGTGACTTCACTGAGTTTTGGCTTACCTTATCTAATGGACAACATCCTCTAAAAAGGTCACTATCAATAATTAATGAAATACTACTTCATCTTCCCCTCATGTAATCTTTTTTTGTAATTACACGTACCAGAAACACAAGTAAGAATTTATTAGCTGGCAGCTCTCTGCAATCAGCATTTATGAGACAGTGCCCCTCTGCAGAAAACATTCTGCTCCAGCTATCTGCCCTTTTTGCCTCCCAGTAAAGCCTTTCCTCCTTTTTCCTTCAGCCTTTTTCAGGGTTGCTTTCCTTATTTCTTCCTGTCTGCAAGGAGTAAACTTCATTAGTTGACTGATGTTGAGTATTTTATTAAATAAATGTAGGCAACTGAAAATGTTACTGGGTCTGCATCATTATAACATAAGCAGATTACATTACATTATTAGGCACTTACACTACAATGAATATAGATTTTATTTCTATTTTAAATAATGTTAATTTAAAATTTCAAGTCAAGAATATTTGCTGAAAATTAGACTTGCTGATGTAACCTCTGTTTCACTCTCTTATTGATATGTGCAGTACAGCATATCTCTTGTCATACTGCTGTTTCATATATGTTACATTATAAACCTCCAGCGAAAATGAAACCATCACTAGAGAGTCCCAGTGAGTAATATTTTTTATTGCTGAGTAATTAATGGTAATATTTAGCTCCTACTTTACCATCCCACATTGCCACACGTGGTGTTATGGGAATTTGGTCTTTGTTTTTGTGATAACAATGAATCAATATCCTACCAGGTAGCCAGAAAGTCTCTCAGATTAGATAGTCCTGAGAGTCCTGAGTCTGTGCTCAGTAATCATTATAGATTAAATTGTGTATCTTGTTACTCCATTAATATTTCATATCCAACATTTACGTTTAAGCCAGTCTTAATAATTTTGAGGAAAGACTAAATACTTTGGAGGAAGACTCTTCCACTGACTAAATCTTCACCAGTTAGGCAAGTCTCTAGACTAGAGTGCAAATACCCAACCAGAAGCTTTTTAGCCCTACTTTTATCACAGAAATAAGGCATTTATCACATCCTGTCATAAATGCTTGTGCATGACTAATTGTGGAATTCACATGTCCTCTGAACAGAGAGAGACTTCGCTTTCTCAGAATTTCTCCTGAGAGAAGCTGTGAGAGAAGCAGAGAAAAGAGAATCAAAATAATTCTTATCTCATTTGCTGCTCCTGTGTTTGTGTACATGTAGAATTGTGTTAGGGAGATTGTTTACCCAAGGTGAGTTGTTAATTGGATTCTGCTGATGGTTGTTTCGATTCATTGACCAATTGGATCCACGTGTGTGTCAGGACTCTCAGCAGAGTCACGGGTTTTTCTAGTTAGTTACTTAGTGATATAGCTCTTGTTTGTGTAATACAGTGTAATATAGTTTTAGTATAATATAGTGTAATAAAGTAATTAATTAGCCCTCTGATATCATGGAGTTCTGCGCATCTTCCCACTGGTCAGGCATTGTAGCACCGATAACTAATATTCAGTTTGTGTCTATATGTAAACTTTCACTAGCTTTAATATCAGCTTTTCACAGTAAACCTAGAGTAAAATAAGGTTACTTGCAGGCACTCTGGTTTAATAGGAAAATGGTGCAGTGTGCTGGCAAGACCAGTGTCCTCAATGAATATCATTAAATAAGATGCATTCTGTTTAAGATCATTTTGGTCTCTGATTTTCTGACAAAAATAGTTTTTTCATCTCTCAGAAACTCCTTTAGTATTTGAGGACCCTGCCATGTCACTTTGAAAAAGATAAATTATCATCTTTGTAACTGGAATAGAGGCATACAGAGGCTAGGATTGAGATCTAAAATGCAGCTCTATCGGCAGAAGCAGTTTAGATGACTGCATTACTAAGTGTAATCCCAAACTCAGTTATTCAGAACTGCACTTTTGCTCTGTCCTTTGGTGTGAGTTAATTTTTTCTTGTTTCTTTCACCTGTTTCTTTCTGAATTTACACACTAGGGTTATGCCATTCTCCTTAACAGACCATCTTTTTCTGAATGTCCTTGTACTATGCCTGCTAGATCTTGTTATCCATCCAGTTGGAGCCTCTCTTATTGTCCGTCCTGTCATCTTACATGATTCAGGTATTTCAGCTGATGCTTTCTGAATTTTTTCATAATTAGAAGGCTGCATAATGTTGCTGTACCATGAAACTGTTCTTGTTCCATGGTAGTTTATTAGCTCCCATCTACTTAGCATCATTCTACAGCCTAATACAAGGTCTGTCTTTCCTTCTGCCAGGCAGCAATCTCATGTACTAGGATTTTACTGTACATTCTGCTTCCTAAATTTACTTGACATAGTCTTAT